ACCTTGGCGGAAACAATTGTTGGTTAACATTTTCTGGTGAGACTGAGTATTATTGTGATGTGAATTGTGTTTAAAGCCTCATACACTTTCCTACATCATTCTCTTCCTTCAAGAGTCAATAGGCTGTGTGACTGTATACTTTTATCATTCCAGGAACCTTCACTCCATGTGAGGGTGTCAAGAACAGTCTGGTTGTTGTCACCACTGTACACAACTCTGCACTTTTTTCGTTAATCAGTTACCACTGCTCCTGACCCTAAACATAACTTATTTAGGTCATCGATTCACTTCACGTCACCATAAGGTAAAATATATTCTCCCGGCCAACGATAAAATTGTCATTCTGTCTCAGAGTATGATCTGTGGTCCCATAAGTCAAGTAATAACAACTGCTGGAGGACACAACCGAATTATGCTGTTCAGTTCTGGTGCCTTTATTATAGAATGGATATCAATTCACTGGAGTCGGTGCAGCGAAGAATGACGAAAATTATTCCGGGACTTAGAAACCTTCCATATCAAGTTAGATTAAAGAAACTAAACTTGCATTCCCAAGAAAGACGAAGAGTGCAGGGAGATATGATAGAAGTATTTAAGTGGGTGAAAGGAATCAATAAAGGTGATATAGATAAAGTTCTTCATAATATTCGAGCAAGATAGGACTCGAGCAACAGATTTTAGTTGGATAAGTTTAGGTTTAGGAGGAGATAGGAGGAACTGGTTCACAAATAGGTGGAAGACGAGTGGAACAAGCTTAGCAACTTTGTAGTAAGTACTGGAACGCTGGAAAGTTTTAAAAGGAGGCTAGATAGATTCATGGATGATAGAGAGTGGTAGTAACTCTCGACAGGAGCTGCTATGCACAGGCCAATCGGCCTATTGCAGACCTTTATTTTCTTATGTTCTTATGAATGTTTATTGAGGTCCAGTAACACTACATGAAGGGTAAAGTCTCATCTTAATATGGCGTCCGTTTCTCCGTTATTTCTCTTATATTAGTTCAGTAACGTTTACCTTCAGTAGATCAATGTTGACAACGTGATAGTAATCCACCGCCTTCCACAAGTTTAGAAATTTTCCTTCGAATGACTTTCTCAAAACTAACTTACCTGAGACTTGAAAGACACTGGTCTGATGAAGGTCAGTCTCAGGTCCCTTGTTGTACAGTATATGTCTGTTGCATTAAATTCTCCCTCACTCTTGCCACAAGTGACTTGCTGAGTGTTAGGAATAATGTGCATCTTGGTTTTTTAGCGGATCACATTAGGTCTCAAAAACTTTGTTAGTTCCTTCACATGATCATCTGGTGGAAACTTTGCAAGAATGGATATACAAGCATCTAGTTGCTTCTTTGTGAGGGTTAAACAAAGGTGATATAACAAAGGTACTCAAACTATCCAACCAGGAGCGAACTCGTAGCAATGGTTTTAAATTAGAAAATTTTAGATTTAGGCACGAGATAGGTAAACATTGGTTTGGAAATAGAGTAGTGGATGAGTGGAACAAGTTACCGAACATCATCATTAACTCGAATACGTTGGATAGCTTCAAACATAGGTTGGATGGATATATGAGCGATAGGGGTTGGGTGTACATGGGACTGCCCATTATGGGACAATAGGCCCGTTGCAGTTTCCTCCATTCTTATGTTATGTTCTTATGTTCTTATGTGCGTCTGTACCAGATAACACGTACACAGGACAAGGTGTTGTGTAGTGGACAAAATGGAAAGAATTTAGTAATCAGAATCAAGCTACAATTATAATATGTTGTGGACAAGAGTGAGGTGCCATCATCACCCGAGCGACTGGAATAAGTTGTTCCCTAGTTTCACGTCACTTGTTTACTGATGGAAATGCATTTAAACTTAGTGTAATATTAGAAACACTGAAATAGTAATTTGAATATCAATTAAGTGTTTAGAAGGTCACAGTACTACAGAATGGATATAGAATCCCTAGAAAGCATTCAGAGTATAGAGACAGATTAACGCATCTGAATTTGCACTACCTCGAGAGACGTAGAGTGAGGGGCGATATGATCGAGGTGTAAAAATGGAAGTCAGGGTAAATCAAAGATGATATAACAAAGGTACTTAAACTATCCAACCAGGAGCGAACTCGTAGCAATGGTTTTAAATTAGACAAATTTAGATTTAAGCGCGAGATAGGTAAACGCTGGTTGGAAATAGAGAAGTGGAAAAGTGAAACAAGTTACCAAATTCCATTATTAACTCGAACACACTGGGAAGCTTCATATAGGTTGGATGGATATATGAGCGATAGGGGTTAGGTGTAAACGGGGCTGCCTAGTATGGGCCAATAGGCCCGCTGCAATTTCCTCCATTCTTATGTTTTAAAGAGATTTCCGGAAGGCTGGGATTGTAACCTGACATACTGACCTTCCAACTTACTTCACCAACACCTTCCAGGTCAGGTGAGGTCTCACTGTTTGCAGAAACTCTACACTGTGTATTATTTTGTTGTAACACACTTCTACTGTGCTTAACTGCCTCTATATGACTCATAAAACAAGTGAATAATACTAACAACAAGAGACTGTCCTACTAAACCTAAAACACTTACCCTCAAGCAACTCAAAGTTAAGTTATACATCAAAGTGTGTGAGACTTGATATAAATGCGGTCAACATATAGATCATTATTTCAGTGATACATTTTCATATATACAAATTTTCATTCTATAGAAACAATAGACCATCGGAGTAGATAAGATTATAATAAAAAGAAATTTACTCTGAAATTGTTTCTGTTACTTTCTCATATATATCTGAGTGGTCAGCAGTGTTCTAACTTACGACCTTTGACCTGACCTTCAACATTGTGCCTAATATGGGACATATAAGTGATCCAGGTAGCGTCTATTGCTCTCCGACCTTGAGCCCCCCCGGAGTGTCTGCCTTCCGACCACGTATATAAAGCGGCGCCAGTTGGACCCAGCATCACAACTCTCTCCTCCTCCTCCTCCTCTGGTCTTCGTCAGCTAGTCTGTTGAAGCTGATACAACTGACTCAGAGACCAACAACAGCTGCCTTGTAATCCATAAAACTTATCCAACATGAAGATCTTATCCCACCTTATATTTACCGGTAAGTTATAATAGTTCTAAGCTAAAGAAAAGTAGAGAAGAGAGCAGCCATAAGCTCACCAACGTAGAGTCATTAGAAATTGTTTGAATTATAATAAAAAATTAACCCCATTTTATCATAATTTATGGTTTTGAACAGAAATAAGAAATTTAAGAAACTTTTCCCTCATTTGACATCAACCCACTTGCTAACTGAGGTGTTTAAGAAGGATATTGAATACACATGTGCTTGTCTATATAGATATTCACGTACAGCCGCCTGCACTACACCTGGTACAGTGGCTGGAGTGTTTTGTTAGATGTGGCAACTCTGTGGAATGTTTGTCTAGCATCCTTAGTCTAGCTACTATTGGTGACGTTCCTTAGGGCCATTCCGGGAGTTCTAATACATTGTAAACAAACACAGAGTTGCCACGTCTCACAAAACGCACTAGCCACTGTACCAGGTGTAAGTGCAGGCGGCTGTACATATATAAACATGCATATAAATATTATATTCTTTCTCAACAGTGGTCATTGGGTCGACTCTCTCGTCCAGACTCGGCTACCTGCCCCCGACTAATGGTTACAACGGCAACGGCAACGGGATCAATGGCAACGGGATCAATGGCAATGGGGTTAATGGCAACGGAGTTAATGGTAATGGTGTCTATGTCAATGGCAACGGGGTTAATGGCAATGGAGTTAAGTATGGTGCCTATGTCAATGGCAACGGAGTTAACGGTAATGGTGCCTATGTCAATGGCAATGGAGTACGGCAACGGAGTTAATGGCAATGGTGCCTATGTCAATGGCAACGGAGTTAATGGAAATGGTGGCTATGTCAATGGCAATGGAGTTAACGGCAACGGAATCAATGGCAATGGAGTGAATGGCAACGGAGTTATTCTCAACGGTAATGGTAATGGCAACGGTGGCTATACCTATGGTGTTGGAAATGGAAATGGTAATGGATACAATGGTAATGGTGCCATAGTGAATGGCAACGGTGTTTACGGGAATGGAAATGGGAACGGACTTGTTAATGGAAACGGAAATGGCATTGTGAACGGTAATGGGTATACCAACGGTTACACTAATGGTAAAGGATATAGAAATGGCTACAGGAACGGCAACGGCAACGGTTATAAGAATGGCAACGGAAGAGTAAATGGAAATGGTTACAGATATGGAGTTAATGGCAATGGTGTCATTCTTAATGGTAATGGGCACACTAACGGTAACGGATTCAACGGTAATGGTGTCAACGGGCACACCAATGGCAATGGTAATGGTGTCAACGGATACACCAACGGCAATGGAGTAAACGGATATACCAACGGTAATGGAGTCAACGGGTACACCAACGGCAATGGAGTCAACGGGTACACCAACGGTAATGGAGTCAACGGGTACACCAACGGTAATGGTGTCAATGGGTATACCAATGGTAATGGTGTCAACGGGTACACCAATGGTAATGGTGTCAACGGTTATACCAACGGTAATGGAGTCAACGGGCACACCAACGGTAACGGAGTCAACGGTAAGGTGTCAAGGGTACACCAACGGTAATGGAGCCAACGGATATACCAACGGTAATGGAGCCAACGGGTACACCAACGGTAACGGAGTCAACGGATACACCAACGGTAATGGTGTCACCGGATACACCAACGGGCACACCAACGGTAACGGCGTCAACGGTAATGGTGTCAACGGTACACCAACGGTAATGGAGCCAACGGGCACACCAACGGTAACGGCGTCAACGGTAATGGAGTCAACGGGTACACCACACGGTAACGGCGTCAACGGTACGTGTCAACGGGTACACCAACGGTAACGGCGTCAACGGTAATGGAGTCAACGGGACACCAACGGTAACGGCGTCAACGGTAATGGAGTCAACGGGTACACCAACGGTAACGGCGTCAACGGTAATGGAGCCAACGGGCACACCAACGGTAACGGCGTCAACGGTAATGGAGTCAACGGGTACACCAACGGTAACGGCGTCAACGGTAATGGTGTCAACGGCACACCAACGGTAACGGAGCCAACGGGTTTACCATCCCTGTGCCAGCCACACCCTCCGGGCTCTACCAGACGCCAGCCTAGTAAACACACTCAGCCACCACACCCTGCAGGCTACATGTTGTATACTGATGCTACACACCTCCCCTGTGTATGTATGTATACCTGCCACATGTATGTATACCCTGTTATGGCTATGTATTCACTGCAGCGACACTCTACATATATAACACTCGTATTTATTGCAAACTGACTTTTTAATATCATAATTTAATGTCTTTGGTATTTAATATTTCTTATGTAAGTTAAGTATCAGTTTTTCTTCTTAGTTGATTTCAATGTCTGTATGTTCGTCAATAAAAATGATTCACGTATATAATTTTTTCTTATTTTTCCTGTTTTATTGAGTTCAGAAAATCAATGCAATGACTTGTACCAGTTTATATCGTCGTCCCACCGGTGGTGTTCGGGTCATATTTCTGAACAAGTTTCTCTTCTCTTACTGACTGATTTTCATTAAACAACATAAATGTCTTTCTTGTATGAACGTCATATAAGTTTCTTCAGATAGTGTCGAACAAAATTCATATATGGTTGATGGAACAGAATTTAGACTATAAAATACAAAAAATTCCACTCTCCCCCCAAAATATCGGCCCCTTTCCTCATCGATACAGTGTGTGTCACAATGGACGAATATTTCCGATCACTAATTGTGATTCCTGCATTATGTTGGTAGGCCTGTCTTCCTAGTATCTGTGAGGCTGCCAGTTATTATTTCTGGCATTAGTTGTAATTATGGTGAATCACCGTGCTCCATCTTGAGTAGACTAATATAATGATATTAATGTAGAGAAAATATATCAACGGTGAAATAGTGGGTGTTTTCTGCTGGGAATCCATGACCAACACTAGTAGCCGAGACTCATTGGAAAACACAGCTTGTACCGACGGACATTGTCTCGTAGTGTGTATCAGATAATGTTCCGTTGCCAGCACGAATCATGAGATGATACGTTATATTCATAATTGTTACTTCATCAATTCATTTAGAAATAATATCGAAACTCAGTAAATCATAATATCATTGTAATTGGATATGGCATCATAGTACACCTGTAATTGCTATATTTATAAATGAATGTAATATTGGATCATTGTGTTTCATATTTCGTTCGAAGCGATTACACTCCAACTTCGGTTCGTGAAAACATAGTAACGTTATATTCCTATTTGACAACCCATCCCCTGGGGCTGAAATAGTATCTAAGGTGCATAAATCAGCGGGGTTCCTCATGACGTTATTGGTTTTGCATGTGGTATCACAAGTCATCCTATTTCATTACATTATGTAGAGAACACGTGGTATACTGCAGCTACCATGGTGATTATGAGGTGCAAGAAGAAAGAACGAAAGGTTCAACTCACAAACAGAAATACTAACCAAACCGCGACTGATATGCACGTGTTACTGTGTTCATTTCTAAATACATGAGGCCCAGGGGTGCCGATACTTTTTGGGGGAGAGTGTACCAAGATTTTATATTTTGTTTTCGCCTAATGTGTTCTGGAAGTCTCGTGATTGTGTATTGACAAGTCTCTCACACCCTGATGGTTGGTGGGGCACATAGGAAGCTCTAAAGGTCAACACTTTTATCCGAAACAGAACTCCTGTATAGATGTGTTTAGAAGACTTCATATGACTCTATTTCCTAATGAGACAAAGTGCAGAAAAGTGACGCAGGAGGAAGGAATAGTATTGTTAGAAGGAAATTAAATCAAATAATGAGAATACACAAAGAGGAGATGGATGATGAGGAAGGTTAGGTAAGATACTGGTCTGGAAGGAAGTGAATAGGGTAAACGGACCAAACAAATGGGATCAACAAATAACAATAAAAGAGTGAAAACAGAGTAGAAAAAAAATGAAATAGAAGAGAAATAGGGAGAGAATACTTAAACAACATATGAGAGAGAGGCAGAATTATTATCCTAAGAACGTGAGAGACCAAATGTTAAAACAAATTGGGCAAAATCATCAGGGAAGAAGAGGTGAGATTGGCTCTGAGGACGATCAAGAATGTTAAAAAAAAACAAAAAAAAAACAAGACTGGATGGAAGCGTTAAGGAAGACAGGAGGCAGCGTAGAGGTTGTGTTGTAGAGAATGAAAGGTTCCATACCATAGTTCCTCTATAAATAGATAAATATGTTCAAGAAGACACGTAAATAAGAGGAATAAGTCTCTTGTGTGTGTCAGGGAACGTGTTTGTCATAAATGTTGTCGAGGAAATTATACTAAAATTATAGAGTATTGAAGAAGAATGTTTGGGTCCAGCAAAAGGAAAAGGAAATTTTATATTATTTATGGTTTTGTATTAAAGAAAATTTGTGAAAAAATATGAAGAGAAGTAATTTGTTGTGGTATTTATGGATTTAGAAATATACATCACAGAGTAGACAATATAAAACTAAACACTGTCCTTATATACAGGTCATGTTATTTACTTCCTGTTTGCCACTTTAAATATTCAGGCCATCAGCGTTTAAGTTCACCTTCCTGTTAGACCAATCAGAGCTCGGTTGATATTCTGTATGTAGCCACAAGTGTGAATTCTTATACTTTAGATGTGATTAAGAGGCTTTGATTGAGTGTCTGTTTTATATTTAAAGTTCTTAAACATTTGGCTGACTCCCAAAGTAATCCAGCAATGACCCACACACACACACACACACACACGACCCACCAGGAAGCTTACATATCAGAGCTTTCCAATACTGACAATTATCGTGTTAGGATGAGCAAGTGGCGGCTGGGTGACTGAACTGCATCTACATCTGTTCTGTTTAGTGATCAATATTGTTAAGAAACATGACAAATATTTAGCAACACGAGTAAAGTGTGGAAGTGAAGTGACTCCTTTATATATTAATGTCAACAACACTGACGACTTACTGACAATTTATCTCACTTATTTCGCTAGTGTTTCCGTTTAAGAATAATTGATACGAAGAGAGATAATGAGGAAGATAGTGGAGGTCGGACTATCAGCTGGTGGGTGTTGGTGTACACAATGGCTCAGAGACTTCCACGTATTGTTCATTATACTCTAAGATAATTACACTTAAGAGCAGTAATAATATAGACACATTCTTATCGTAGAAAATAATAAAACATTAACAATATAAAAGAGAAAGTTTGCTGTATACTGACTTGTTTCTTAACGTTTACGTAACATATATACCACAACCAGCTGAACCTGTGTTGATTATGTAAGAAGAAATATCAAAGAACGGCTGCCAACAGTTTCCTTTTTTCCGTAATGTTGTTTATCTCTTCGTCACGAGAACCTCACTTAAGTGTAGGTGACAAATGGATTAATAGAAGAGAAATAGTAAACACAGGAACTCCAACAAGGCAGAAATGTCTGGATGAAAGTGGCCGAGATGAACGTCCTAGTTCACGACCTTTGACCCTCTTCTACGTGATATCGGCCACACAGGTGATCCATGCTGTTCTCTCACCATCTCGTGACCTTGAGCCCCCCAGTGTCAGCCTCACGACCATGTATATAAAGCGGCTCCACTTCGACCCACCATCACAACACTCGCTCTGGTCTTCCTCCTCAGGTCGTACTCAGAGACGCAACATAATATTTTAATTCTACTCAGTAAGAAGTATCCCAAGATGAAGATAACAACTCACTTGTTGTTTGCGGGTAAGTGAAGCTTCATTTTAGATACATATTCAGCTTTACAAAGACCGCACTACTCTGGCGCAGGTAAATAGATACTGCCATCCAATCTAATTACTTCTTCAGTAGCGTTCTCTTACAGTTACCTATCCTGAACGCAGTCCTAAGGCATCCTTCTAACTTTACATCTGCCACTTCACACTACCAGATATCACTGCCACACTAAATTTCTTCAAGTATATACACTGGTGCTTCTTCACTGTCCACCCTCTTACTATTACCTGGCTCCCTCATTCCTTCCTTCCAACAGCCTTTCCGTCCTCACCTCAGAATCACACACCTTTCAGTAATATTTTGTTTTGATGATTTTTTTTAGATTTGGGCTAAACTATAAATCAAATTAAGTCTAAAAGGAAACAAAATCATCAGCAATTTTTTTTTTGCACAGATGAACTTTTTTTATTTAACTTATTTTGGCCGGTAAATAATGCCGTATAGAATTTTACATGAAAAACACAAACAAAATAATCAGTGAACTTACTCAAAGACACTCCCCCCGTGTACCCAGCGCTCAGCAGATGTCAACATGAACACACTACACTGTACTAACTCTCTTCCTCACTCTCATAAACGGGTATTATAAACTCAAGGCAGAGTATCAAGACTTAACCATATATTATCACTGGGAGTTAGTTACTTACTTTATCATCTGGACTAAACAACCTCTCATTAGCGGACTTTACCCTTGTTGGTCCCTATTTGCGGACATTATTTGGAGATCAAGGACCGTCCATTAACTGAGGGGTTATCTTCCTTTACCCACACACACACACACACACACACACACACACAAACACACACACACACACACACACACACACACACACACACACACACACACATCCTCCTAAACTTGCTCGCTATAAAAATCCACTTTGTTGCAAACTCATTAATAACATTATAACAACAACAACCTCCCCACACACATACCTAATGGATAGGGAATCCTGTGTAAGTAGAATAAATTGTGAGGTAAAGATCTAGAATATATCACCTAATGTTGCTCACTGGTTCAATATAATTCTTCTCCTCACCAGCAGTGATCAGGGCCACCTAGCAGTGCGCCTCAACTATTACCTCCAACAAACGGCTTTAATGGCAGCAGGTTAATGGCAATGGGAATGGCAACGGATTAACTAATGGTATTGTCCAATGGAAATGGTTTCACTAATGGTATTGTCAATGGAAATGGTGGATACGCCAATGGATTTAATGGAAATGGTTTTACAAACGGTGTAAATGGAATCGGAAATGGATATACTAATGGGAATGGTCTCTTTGGAAATGGCAATGGTGTTCTTAACGGAAATGGTAACGGATACGCCAATGGTGTAAACGGCAACGGTAATGGTTATTGTCAATGGAAACGGTGTTATTAACGGGAATGGTTATGCCAATGGAAATGGTAATGGATTTCTCAACAGCAACGGTGCTTTTAATGGGAATGGATATGTCAATGGAAATGGGAATGGATTTGTCAATGGCAACGGCGCTGTTAACGGGAACGGGTACTACAACGGCATCGTGGACCCCATCAGCGCCCCTGCTGATGCTATTGAAGGTGGCGGCGTCCCCGGCGTGGACTATCCATCCTGGCTTCTGTCCCTTCACTGGATTCTCCTGCGGCGGACTAATACCCGGATATTACGCTGACACTGCCCGAGGCCGGCTGTCAGGTGAGTCTTATACTGTCCCCGAGGGCCGGCTGTCAGGTGAGTCTTATACTGCCCCGTGGCCGGCTGTCAGGTGAGTCTTTACTGCCCGAGGCCGGCTGTCAGCTGGAGTCTTATACTGCCCCGAGGCCGGCTGTCAGGTGAGTCTTATACTGCCCCGAGGCCGGCTGTCAGCTGATTATACTGCCCCGGGCCGGCTGTCAGGTGAGTCTTATACTGTCATGAGGCCGGTTGTCAACTGAGTCTTATCTGCCCCACCGGGGCCGGCTGTCAGGTAAATTTTATATAATCACTTTGGAACTAACATTATTTCAGTATGTTACAGATAACTGTAGTACCTAAGATAATATATTTAGGTACACATTACCAAAGATTTTATATCCATAATATTAGCGTCAAAAGTTAAGATGAAGTTGAATACTGTAACGTAATCTTGGTAACAGTCTGCACAGGGTCCTTGATGTGTCGCCTCACTAGTAAAGGATCGAGTTTCTGTGGCCTAAAGGTTCTTCACAATCGCTCTCACCTCGCCCTTTACATCCATAAATTGTGTCCAAGAACACATTATCTCTTAGCCCTCGTAATAACATCAAATTATGGTGGTGAGGCGGATTATGTGACTGCGCCAAAAGATAGTGTGTGGTGGCCGAGAGTTGGCTGGGGCGCTGTGTCTAAATACTTGTTCCTCTACACTGGGGATAATTTTCTCTTTACGAAGAGTTGCACCAAATAATCATATCAAGTTCTCACACTTTTTCCACTTATCGAATTATGTTGTCCTCGACAGGTGTTCCACATCTGTCAGGCAGATCTGGAGAACGACTCCTTCCTGTGTCCCAACGGCACCATCTTCAACCAGCAGTTCTTCGTGTGTGACTGGTGGTACTTCGACTGTTCCACCGCCCCACAGTTCTACGGTCTCAACGCTCAGATCGGGTGGTCAGCAGTAATGGCAACGGATACTCAACGGCATCGTCAATGGCATAATCAACGGTAACGGGATTTATGGAGCGAGGAATGGAAACGGGCCATCAATGGTAACGGTTACGTTAACGGAAACGGAGTCATCAATGGCAATGGCTACGTTAACGGAAACAGGTCATCAATGGAAATGGCAACGGCATCGTTAATGGAAATGGGCAACAATGGCAACGGCTACATAAACGGAAACGGAGTCATCAATGGCAATGGCTACGTTAACGGAAACGGAGTCATCAATGGAAATGGCAGCAGCATCGTTAATGGAAATGGAGGCATTAATGGCAATGGCTACGTAAATGAATGGAGTTCTCAATGAAATGGATTTACAAATGGTAATGGCAATGGTCTTATTAATGGCATAAATGGAAACGGCAATGGTATCAACGGCAATGGTTACAGAAACGGAAACGGTAACGGTGCCATCAACGGGCTGTACCAGACTCCCAGCCTGTGAACACTGCTGACCGCACCTCCGTCTCGACTCCTTCAAGAATGTTTACTCTTGTCTGCCAAAGCTTTATGTTTTGTGTCCTCGTAGCTGAGTGATGTTGAGGCTGGAGACCCTTGGTTGATCTTCCTCGAGACTTTAAACTAACAAACCAAAACAAGTGAACTTGACCCTTAATGACTGGTGGCAGTGAAGACTAAGTTGTTTATAATGAGTTCTTGGAAGCTGCCTCAGTGCCTCAGTCCATTATTATACAAACCCAATTAGATCTACGATTATCTCTATGTGTGTATATATCTGTACACCCATACACAATCATTCGGCTATTTATATTTTTATCGTGAATATATATATATATATATATATATATATATATATATATATATATATATATATATATAATATATATATATATATATATATATATATATATATATATATATATATATATATATATATATATATATATATTTTACTTTTGACGAAAGAAACTCACAAATATTATATAAATGTCCTTCTTATGTCCATATTATCTAAATTTGTCAAATTATCCAAATTATGTCACAACTATCTGAAATTGTGAGAAGTCTTGGTATAAGAGTGAAATAGTGACCACTATAGAGAGCTTCTCGCGCGGTGTGGACTTGGTCTCCGGTGTGTTCTAAGGCAGCAAGTGTCCACAGCTTTTAACCAAGTGACTGTTGTGCCTCACCTGCAGTAGAGACTTGTCTTGTGCTCGCACACGCTATGTTTATTATTATATAAACCATATACTTGTTGTATAGCTATAATAAATATTTTATCTTATATATTTACATGTTTTTATACCTATACAGATTATGAGTGATTATTAATATCGATGAACCATGACAACAGGTTTATTATGGTCTAGCTCTATTAACAGTCAATATTTACTTGGCAACGATGATGACTTTATATTGATCACTGCCAGATCAATATAAACACATCCCTAAAAGAAAATTCAGATCGATACGGAACCAACCAAAATGGATGAATAATAGACTCTTAGATCTTCTAGGGAAAAAGAAAGGAGTATATAGAAAAGTTAAGAAAGGCGAAAATCACTTACTTGGTTACTATCAGAACCTAACAAGACAGGTAAAAACAGAAATTAGGAAAGCAAAGAGAAATTATGAAATCAAGGTAGCAAACGAATCGAAAAATAACCCCAAAGCTTTTTATCAACTGTATAAATCAAAGGTTAGAGATACAATAGGTCCCCTAAACTACTAGACAGGAGAAATGACTGATGATGAGTTAGAAATGTGTAGTACGTTAAATAGTCATTTTCGCTCAGTATTCAAATGAAACCCAGCACAGTTTCCAGAAGTTCATAAGGTATATAACGACAGTATAGAAAATATGTTGATGAATAATATTACTAGTAACGATGTGCTAAGTAATTAACAAACTGAAGCCTCATAAATCGCCTGGTCCAGACGAGGTATATGCTAGAATATTAAAAGAATGTAGAGATGAGTTGAGTAATCCATTAGCAGTTTTATTTAATAAGTCATTAGAATCGGGCCTAGTGCCAGAAGCTTGGAAACTTGCAAATGTAGTTCCGATTTTCAAAAGGGTGATAAATCAATAGCATCAAATTACCGTCCCATTAGTCTCACGTCATTCATAGGCAAGTTGCTAGAGTCAATTATTGCTACAAAAATCAGAAGCCACCTTGAAACATTCAACTTAATTCATTCTTCAGCACGGGTTCACCCAGGACGTTCTTGTCTCTCAAATTTGCTTAGCTTTTTCAGAAGTATATGAAGCGGTAGATAATGATAAGTCATATGATATAATTTATTTAGATTTCAGTAAAGCATTCTGATAGAGTCCTCATGAGAGATTGATAAGGAAGGTAGAAGCACATGGAATAGGTGGATCAGTATTAAAATGGATTAGGTCATGGTTAACTGGTAGGAAACAAAGAGTCAGCATAAATGGATTAAAGTCAGACTGGGGTGCGGTCAAAAGCGGAGTTCCCAGGGATCTGTATTAGGCCCTGCTGTTTGTTATATTCATTAATGATCTTGATTTAGGTATAACTAGTAGGATTAGTAAATTTGCAGATGATACCAAAATGGGGAGAGTGATAAATTCAGACAGTGACTTTGAACACCTACAAAGAGATCTAGATACCTTACATGAGTGGTCAGTAGACTGGCAAATGAATTTTAATACTGATAAATGCAAGGTACTACAGATAGGGAAGACGAATACAAACGTTAAGTATAAACTAGGTAACACGGAAATAGAAAACTCAGATTGTGAAAAAGATCTAGGTGTATTTGTTAGCAACGACTTGAAACCTAGAAAACAATGTACTAGCGTTCGCAACAAGGGCAAACAGGATTCTTGGGTTCATATCTAGGAGTGTGAGTAACAGAACTGCTGACGTTATCTTGAAACTTTACCTAGCATTAGTGAGGCCACACATGGATTATGCGGTTCAATTCTGGTGTCCTTATTATAGAATGGACATAGATTCTTTGGAGAGAGTACAAAGAAGAATGACAAAAATGATCCATAATATTAGAAACCTTCCATATGAAGAAAGACTGAAAAGCTTAGGCTTACATTCATTAGAGAGGCGTAGAGATAGGGGAGATATGATAGAGGTGTACAAGTGGGTAAGTGGGATTAGCAAGGGTAAAATGGAAGATGTTCTGAAGCTCAGTAATAACGAAATAACTAGAACAAATGGCTTTAAATTAGATAAATTCCGATTCAGAAAGGATATAGGCAAGCACTGGTTTGGAAATAGAGTTGTGGATATGTGGAATAGACTACCGAGTGCTATAGTAGGATCGGGGACGCTAGGGAGCTTCAAGACGAAGTTGGATAGGCACATGGAAGTGCTGGGATGGGTGTGAAAGGGATCTGCCCTGTATGGGCCAGTCGGCCTCCTGCAGTATCCCACTTTCTTATGTTCTTATGTTATGTTCTTACTGAAAATCGTGACATTATACAGGAGGTTATACGGTGAGGATGCAGCTGCTGTAGGCACTCGCCTATATTACCCCAAACTGGGTTATCAGGTCGGTTCCAATCAGGTTCATCAATGCTCACACGGTTCACTATGAGCAGGACACCCCTGCTGAGAAAATCAACCAAATGAAGGCCACAGGGCGTGGCGCCCAGCAGGCTTCTCATCGAGCCAAAAAATATTACGCACAGTATTATAACCAGAGAGTAAAACCTTTGACAGTGAAAGTGGGAACATTGGTGATGCTAGGGAACGACTTGTCTGAACCGGGACAAAGTAGAAAACTGGGAACTCGTTGGAAGGGACATTTTAGAATTATTGAGAAGAAAGGACCTGTTAGTTACAAGATTAAAGAAGTATTTGATGACTCTGAACCACGTATAGTCCATATTAACAAACTTATGCTGTTCACACCCCCCACAAGAACTAACTTTCCCACCCAGACTCTACTAAGGCTGCCGCCTTTCAATCTATCAGGACCAGATATTTTATGTTTCACGAAATACTGGCAGAAACGATTAAAAGGAATATTAATATAAATTATGTTTATATACATATATGGCAAGCCAAGGTAAATAAATATATGCACATCAGTCATAAAGAAACTAATTGTTCATTGTTAGAAAAATATAAATGTTATAATCTACTAAGGATTCTTATTAGTGTAGAGGCATGGAAGGTAATAGATGAAACATGGCAAAATAAATCCGTTAACAAGAGATGTTTTAAAACCCAACACTTATTTCTTAATCTGTTAAGGGATGTTTTAATACATAAAGGTGTATGGTATCAGACAGTTAGCACGCGAAGGCGTTTATATAATTCGTTCAAACTCTCCTCAGTTGTTGTCTGGATGATAATAACTAATAAAAACGATTCGACACTTTTTTCCTTTAATTTTATGATTTTTATTTCGTTTTTTTCTATCTGCAATCTTGAATCACCTGTAGTGGTCAGGGCATGAAAGATGAGGGAAATTATGTTGTCTCTGTTAACTATAATATACACAACGGAGCCTCACGTCGGGGTTTTAATACCATGAATATTGGCTTGGTTGTGTTTTTTCATGTTATAGACTTCACTTCCCTTATGCCTACGTTTATTGTCTTAGCAAATCCATTTTTTCTTTTTGACGCAAAATGTTCTTAAACCTATTCAATGTATAAATGATGAGAACTACAGTATATAGTTGGAATCGAAGCCCACATTTTAGGTTTGGATACATTTCCAAAGCTTTAGAATATAGTTTGTTTCTAGGAGAACTGTATGTTCCTATATTCATCGTTCTTCCACAAGGAACACAATAGTTCGTCTGTCACCATAGACTAGTTGGGTTGGAAGGACGTGCAAGTGTTCAAAATGCATCAGTGAACTGACAGTGAAGAAGAAATTGCACTATGCCGCTTGAAGAAAGTTATTTTCATTCATACCACATATCAAAATAAGTTCTTTCTGTTTAATATGCCCGGGGTTCCTAAAGGTGAAGGCCTGGTTAGAAAGTTAGGTAAGGTTAGGTTAGGTTTGGTTAGTTAGGTCAGATTCTATTAGGTTCTATAAGCTGTCGTTTCCATTTTCGTGTTTAGCATCATACATATAGTATCTCCAGAAAGTTTGGTCCAGTTCCATAAGTTATTTCCGCTGTTAACCGTGTTCTTCACCTTTACCAAGTGTATTTTTTATATGATCACAAGGAATTTTTAATATGTAAAAATTGATAACTGAGATTTTGTTTGTTTGTATCTTGGTCTAGCATTTTTCTGCAAATCGCCGTGGATATCGGGGAAGGTGCAAGTGTTATGGTAATCTCAACAAATTGTTTAAAGCCATTCAGTAAGATCGTGTAAAAATAATAACAATATTTCAATAATTTCGTAAAGTCGATGAGTGGAATTACTGGTTTCACAATGTTACTGTAACATATATACCACCGGGCAGCTGAACCTCTGTTGATTATGTAAGAAGAAATATCAAAGAACGGCTGCCAACAGTTTCCTTTTTTCCGTAATGTTGTTTATCTCTTCGTCACGAGAACCTCACATAAGTGTAGGTGACAAATGGATTAATAGAAGAGAAATAGTAAACACAGGAACTCCAACAAGGCAGAAATGTCTGGATGAAAGTGGCCGAGATGAACGTCCTAGTTCACGATCTTTGACCCTCTTCTACGTGATATCGGCCACACAGGTGATCCATGCTGTTCCTCTCACCATCTCGTGACCTTGACCCCCCAGTGTCAGCCTCACGACCATGTATATAAAGCGGCTCCACTTCGACCCAGCATCACAACACTCGCTCTGGTCTTCCTCCTCAGGTCGTACTCAGAGACGCAACATAATATTTTAATTCTACTCAGTAAGAAAATATTCCAAGATGAAGGTTGCAACAAACTTTCTATTTGCGGGTAAGTGAAGCTTCATTTTAGATACATATTCAGCTTTACAGGTAAATAGATACTGCCATCCAATCTAATTACTTCTTCAGTAGCGTTCTCTTACAGTTACCTTTCCTGAACGCAGTCCTAAGGCATCCCTCTAACTTTACATCTGCCACTTCACACCACCAGCACCATTACCAGATATCACTGCTACACTATATTTCTTCGTCAAGTATATACCCTGGTGCTTCTTCACTGTCCACCCTCTTACCATTACCTGGCTCCCTCATCCCTTTATTCCACCTGCCTCCACGTCCTCACCTCAGAATCACACACACACCTTTCTGTAATATTTTGTTTGGATAATTTTTTGAAAGTTGAACATGAATATAAATCAAAATAAGTCTTATAATAAAACAAAATTCTTAAGCAATAATCTTTTTACATAGATTAAAAATATTTCACACAAGAGAGAAAAAAAATAGTCAATGAACTTCTCACCCCGACCCTCCCCCCGTGTACCCAGCGCTCAGCAGATGTCAACATGAACACACTACACTGTACTAACTCTCTTCCTCACTCTCATAAACGGGTATTATAAACTCAAGGCAGAGTATCAAGACTTAACCATATATTATCACTGGGTGTTAGTTACTTACTTTATCATCTGGACTAAACAACCTCTCATTAGCGGATTTTACCCTTGTTGGTCCCTATTAGCGGACATTATTTGGAGATCGAGGACCGTCCATTAACTGAGGGTTATCGCTTCCTTTTTACCCACACACACACACACACACACACACACACACACACACACACACACACACACACACACACACACACACACACATCCCTCCCCTAAACTTGTTACTCGCTATAAAAACCCACTTTGTTGCTGAAACTCATTAATAACATTATAACAACAACAACCTCCCCCACACACATACCTAATGCAGATAGGAATCCTGTGTAAGTAGAATAAATTGTGAGAGTAAAGATCTAAGAATATATCACCTAATGTTGCTCACTGGTTCAATATAATTCTTCTTCTCCTCACCAGCAGTGATCGGGGCCACCCTAGCAGTGCGCCTCAACTATTTACCTCCAACAAACGGCTTTAATGGCAACGGAGTTAATGGCAATGGGAATGGCAACGGATTAACTAATGGTATTGCCAATGGAAATGGTTTCACTAATGGTATTGTCAATGGAAATGGTGGATACGCCAATGGATTTAATGGAAATGGTTTTACAAACGGTGTAAATGGAATCGGAAATGGATATACTAATGGGAATGGTCTCTTTGGAAATGGCAATGGTGTTCTTAACGGAAATGGTAACGGATACGCCAATGGTGTAAACGGCAACGGTAATGGATTTATTGTCAATGGAAACGGTGTTATTAACGGGAATGGTTATGCCAATGGAAATGGTAATGGATTTCTCAACGGCAACGGTGCTTTTAATGGGAATGGATATGTCAATGGAAATGGGAATGGATTTGTCAATGGCAACGGCGCTGTTAACGGGAACGGATACTACAACGGCATCGTGGACCCCATCAGCGCCCTTGCTGATGCTATTGGAGGTGGCGGCGTCCCCGGCGTGGACTATCCCATCCTGGCTTCTGTCCCCTTCACTGGATTCTCCTGCGGCGGACTAATACCCGGATATTACGCTGACACTGCCCCCGAGGCCGGCTGTCAGGTGAGTCTTATACTGTCCCCGAGGCCGGCTGTCAGGTGAGTCTTATACTGCCCCCGAGGCCGGCTGTCAGGTGAGTCTTTTACTGCCCCCGAGGCCGGCTGTCAGCTGAGTCTTATACTGCCCCCGAGGCCGGCTGTCAGGTGAGTCTTATACTGCCCCCGAGGCCGGCTGTCAGCTGAGTCTTATACTGCCCCCGAGGCCGGCTGTCAGGTGAGTCTTATACTGTCCTTGAGGCCGGTTGTCAACTGAGTCTTATACTGCCCCACCGAGGCCGGCTGTCAGGTAAATTTTATATAATCACTTTAGGAACTAACATTATTTCAGTATGTTACAGATAACTGTAGTACCTAAGATAATATAATTAGGTACACATTACCAAAGATTTTATATCCACATAATATTAGCGTCAAAAGTTAAGATGAAGTAGAATACTGTAACGTAATCTTGGTAACAGTCTGCACGGGGTCCTTGATGTGTCGCCTCACTAGGTAAAGGGATCGAGTTTCTGTGGCCTAAAGGATTCTTCACAATCGCTCTCACCTCGCCCTTTACATCCATAAATTGTGTCCAAAGAACACATTATCTCTTAGCCCTCGTAATAACATCAAATTATGGTGGTGAGGCGGATTATGTGACTGCGCCAAAAGATAGTGTGTGGTGGCCCGAGAGTTGGCTGAGGGCGCTGTGTCTAAATACTTGTTCCTCTACACTGGGGATAATTTTCTCTTTACGAAGAGTTGCACCAAATAATCATATCAAGTTCTCACACTTTTTCCACTTATCGAATTATGTTGTCCTCGACAGGTGTTCCACATCTGTCAGGCAGATGGCAGGAGCGACTCCTTCCTGTGTCCCAACGGCACCATCTTCAACCAGCAGTTCTTCGTGTGTGACTGGTGGTACAACTTCGACTGTTCCACCGCCCCACAGTTCTACGGTCTCAACGCTCAGATCGGAGTGGTCAACGGTAATGGCAACGGATACTCCAACGGCATCGTCAATGGCATAATCAACGGTAACGGGATTTATGGAGCGAGGAATGGAAACGGAGCCATCAATGGTAACGGTTACGTTAACGGAAACGGAGTCATCAATGGCAATGGCTACGTTAACGGAAACGGAGTCATCAATGGAAATGGCAACGGCATCGTTAATGGAAATGGAGGCAACAATGGCAACGGCTACATAAACGGAAACGGAGTCATCAATGGCAATGGCTACGTTAACGGAAACGGAGTCATCAATGGAAATGGCAACGGCATCGTTAATGGAAATGGAGGCATTAATGGCAATGGCTACGTAAATGGGAATGGAGTTCTCAATGGAAATGGATTTACAAATGGTAATGGCAATGGTCTTATTAATGGCATAAATGGAAACGGCAATGGTATCAACGGCAATGGTTACAGAAACGGAAACGGTAACGGTGCCACCAACGGGCTGTACCAGACGCCCAGCCTGTGAACACTGCTGACCGCACCTCCGTCTCGACTCCTTCAAGAATGTTTACTCCTGTCTGCCAAAGCTTTATGTTGTGTCCTCGTAGCTGAGTGATGTTGAGGCTGGAGACCCTTGGTTGATCTTCCTCGAGAGACTTTAAACTAACCAAACCAAAACAAGTGAACTTGACCCTTAATGACTGGTGGCAGTGAAGACTAAGTTGTTTATAATGAGTTCTTGGAAGCTGCCTCAGTGCCTCAGTCCAGTTATTATACAAACCCAATTAGATCTACGATTATCTCTATGTGTGTATATATCTGTACACCCATACACAATCATTCGGCTATTTATATTTTTATCGTGAATATATATATATATATATATATATATATATATATATATATATATATATATATATATATATATATATATATATATATATATATATATATATATATATATATACATATATATATTTTACTTTTGACGAAGAAACTCACAAATATTATATAAATGTCCTTCTTATGTCCATATTATCTAAATTTGTCAAATTATCCAAATTATGTCCACAACTATCTGAAGAATTGTGAGGAAGTCTTGGTATAAGGAGTGAAATAGTGACCACTATAGAGAGCTTCTCGCGCGGTGTGGACTTGGTCTCCGGTGTGTTCTAAGGCAGCAAGTGTCCACAGCTTTTAACCAAGTGACTGTTGTGCCTCACCTGCAGTAGAGAGCTTGTCTTGGCTGCTCGCACACGCTATGTTTATTATTATATAAACCATATACTTGTTGTATAGCTATAATAAATATTATTTTCATATATATTTACATGTTTTTATACCTATACAGATTATGAGTGATTATTAATATCGATGAAACATGACAACAGGTTTATTATGGTCTAGCTCTATTAACAGTCAATATTTACTTGGCAACGATGATGACTCCCGAGTATATTGATCACTGCCAGATACAGCTGTTTGAACGAATCTTACTGAAAAACGTGACATTATACAGGAGGTGAGGATGCAGCTGCTGTAGGCACACACGCCTATATTACCCCAAACTGGGTTATCAGGTCGGTTCTAATCAGGTTCATCAATGCTCACACGGTTCACTATGGACAGGACACCCCTGCTGAGAAAATCAACCAAATGAAGGCCTCAGGGCGTGGCGCCCAGCAGGCCTCTCATCGAGCCAAAAAATATTACGTTCAGTATTATAACCAGAGAGTATAACCTTTGACAGTGAAAGTGGGAACATTGGTGATGCTAGGGAACGACTTGTCTGAACCGGGACAAAGTAGAAAACTGGGAACTCGTTGGAAGGGACATTTTAGAATTATTGAGAAGAAAGGACCTGTTAGTTACAAGATTAAAGAAGTATTTGATGACTCTGAACCACGTATAGTCCATATTAACAAACTTATGCTGTTCACACCCCCACAAGAACTAACTTTCCCACCCAGACTCTACTAAGGCTGCCGCCTTTCAATCTATCAGGACCAGATATTTTATGTTTCACGAAATACTGGCAGAAAAGATTAAAAGGAATATTAATATAAATTATGTTTATATACATATATGGCAAGCCAAGGTAAATAAATATATGCACATCAGTCATAAAGAAACTTATTGTTCATTGTTAGAAAAATATAAATGTTATAATCTACTAAGGATTCTTATTAGTGTAGAGGCATGGAAGGTAATAGATGAAACATGGCAAAATAAATCCGTTAACAAGAGATGTTTTAAAACCCAACACTTATTTCTTAGTCTGTTAAGGGATGTTTTAATACATAAAGGTGTATGGTATCAGACAGTTAGCACCCGAAGGCGTTTATATAATTCGTTCAAACTCTCCTCAGTTGTTGTCTGGATGATAATAACTAATAAAAACGATTCGACAATTTTTTCCTTTAATTTTATGATTTTTATTTAATTTTTTTTCTATCTGCAATCTTGAATCACCTGTAGTGGTCAGGGCATGAAAGATGAGGGAAATTATGTTGTCTCTGTTAACTATAATATACACGACGGAGCCTCACGTCGGGGTTTTAATACCATGAATATTGGCTTGGTTGTGTTTTTTCATGTTATAGACTTCACTTTCCTTATGCCTACGTTTATTGTCTGAGCAAATCCATTTTTTCTTTTTGGCGCAAAATGTTCTTAAACCTATTCAATGTATAAATGATGAGAACTACAGTATATAGTTGGAATCGAAGCCCACATTTTAGGTTTGGATACATTTCCAAAGCTTTAGAATATAGTTTGTTTCTAAGAGAACTGTATGTTCCTATATTCATCGTTCTTTCACAAGGGACACAAGAGTTCGTCTTTCACCATAGACTAGTTGGGTTGGAAGGACGTGCAATTGTTCAAAATGCATCAGTGAACTGACAGTGTAAAAGAAATTGCACTATGCCGCTTGAAGAAAGTTATTTTCATTCATACCACATATCAAAATAAGTTCTTTCTCTTTAATATGCCCGGGGTTCCTGAAGGTGAAGGCCTGGTTAGAAAGTTAGGTAAGGTTAGGTTAGGTTTGGTTAGTTAGGTCAGATTCTATTAGGTTCTATAAGCTGTCGTTTCCATTTTCGTGTTTAGCATCATACATATAGTATCTCCAGAAAGTTTGGTCCAGTTCCATAAGTTATTTCCGCTGTTAACCGTGTTCTTCACCTTTACCAAGTGTATTTTTTATATGATCACAAGGAATTTTTAATATGTAAAATCCATCACTGAGATTTTGTTTGTTTGTATCTTGGCCTAGCATTTTTCTGGAAGTCGCCGTGGATATCGGGGAAGGTGCAAGTGTTATGGTAGTCTCAACAAATTGTTTAAAGCCATTCAGTAAGATCGTGTAAAAATAATAACAATATTTCAATAATTTCGTGAAGTCGATGAATGGAATTACTGGTTTCACAATGTTACTGTAACATATATACCACCGGCCAGCTGAACCTCTGTTGATTATGTAAGAAATATCAAAGAACGGCTGCCAACAGTTTCCTTTTTTCCGTAATGTTGTTTATCTCTTCGTCACGAGAACCTCACTTAAGTGTAGGTGACAAATGGATTAATAGAAGAGAAATAGTAAACACAGGAACTCCAACCAGGCATAAATGTCTGGATGAAAGTGGCCGAGATGAACGACCTAATTCACGATCTTTGACCCTCTTCTACATGATATCGGCCACACAGGTGATCCATGCTGTTCCTCTCACCATCTCGTGACCTTAAGCCCCCCAGTGTCAGCCTCACGACCATGTATATAAAGCGGCTCCACTTCGACCCACCATCACAACACTCGCTCTGGTCTTCCTCCTCAGGTCGTACTCAGAGACGCAACATAATATTTTAATTCTACTCAGTAAGAAGTATCCCAAGATGAAGATAATAACTCACTTGTTATTTGCGGGTAAGTGAAGCCTTTGAGTGGCAAACACAAAACAAACTTTCCCTTCATTCTCTGTTACTTGTTCTCTGTAACTGCCTTGGCAAGTGTATTCTTTTATGTTGTTCAATCACCATATGACCGATTCGAGATACAACCCAGCACCACACATCACCAGCACCACACACATCACCAGCACCACACATCACCAGCACCACAGCACACACATGACAAGCACCACACATCACCAGCACCACACATCACCAGCACCACACATCACCACACATCACCAGCACCACCACATGACCAGCACACACACACCAGACACAACACATCACCAGCACCACACATCACCAGCACCACACATCACCAGACACAACACATCACCAGCAACACACATCACCAGCACCACACATGACAAGCACCACACATCACCAGACACAACACACCACCAGACACAACACATCACCAGACACCACACATCACCAGACACAACACATCACCAAAAACCATTCCAAAGAACTCAGTCAAACCTACACACACACAACTGGTACCTCTCTCAGCCCCTTCCACCCACTTCCTTCACCTTCCACCCACTTCCTTCACGATGTTCACCTCACTCCCCTTAACATTCTATCTACGCCATATTTGTTTCCTCTCATTTACTTCATACATTCTCACCTCAGTTGCCTCACTCTCCAACAGCGCCTTTAAACCTCCACAATATTTTCTTTTGCTCATGTTTCTATCATTCTTTAGGTCTTAGTTATCCAGTAAAATCCTCTCAAACTCATTATTCCTGTGGTTAACTTTATCTTATATTCCGTTTGTCTTTTGTTTCTTGGCGCTATTTTCATCTTCATTTTGTTATGTACTGTATTTATTACTACTTGTATCTCTCTTATCTTTAGTTGATATTCATGTAACCTTTATTCATAGAACCTTGACCATTTATTATTGTTATTTTTTATTTTATTCGTATTTTCACACACCTCAGCTCCTCTTTGTTTTGTCCATTAATAATCTGCGACTCTCTCTCTCTCTCTCTCTCTCTCTCTCTCTCTCTCTCTCTCTCACCTTATGTTGCTCACCGGTTCAATATAATTCTTCTTCTCCTCACCAGCAGTGATCGGGGCCACCCTAGCAGTGCGCCTCAACTATTTACCTCCAACAAACGGCTTTAATGGCAACGGAGTTAATGGCAATGGGAATGGCAACGGATTTACTAATGGTATTGTCAATGGAAATGGTTTCACTAATGGTATTGTCAATGGAAATGGTGGATACGCCAATGGATTTAATGGAAATGGTTTTACAAACGGTGTAAACGGAATTGGAAATGGGAATGGTGTCTTTGGAAATGGTAATGGTGTTCTTAACGGAAATGGTAACGGATACGCCAATGGTGTAAACGGGAATGGTAATGGTCTTATTGTCAATGGGAATGGTGTTATTAACGGGAATGGTTATGCCAATGGAAATGGTAATGGATTTGTCAACGGCAACGGTGCTGTTAACGGAAACGGATATGCCAATGGAAATGGTAATGGGTTCGTCAACGGCAACGGAGCTGTTAACGGAAACGGATATGCCAATGGAAATGGTAATGGGTTCGTCAACGGCAACGGTGCTGTTAACGGGAACGGTTATACCAATGGAAATGGTAATGGTTTAGTCAACGGCAACGGTGCTGTTAACGGGAACGGTTATACCAATGGAAATGGTAATGGATTTGTCAACGGCAACGGCGCTGTTAACGGGAACGGGTACTACAACGGCATCGTGGACCCCATCAGCGCCCTTGCTGATGCTATTGGAGGTGGCGGCGTCCCCGGCGTGGACTATCCCATCCTGGCTTCTGTCCCCTTCACTGGATTCTCCTGCGGCGGACTAATACCCGGATACTACGCTGACATTGCCCCCGAGGCCGGCTGTCAGGTGAGTCTTATACTGCCCCCAAGGCCGGCTGTCAGCTGAGTCTTATACTGCCCCCGAGGCCGGCTGTCAACTGAGTCTTATACTGCCCCGAGATCGGCTGTCAGGTGAGTCTTAGGCCATTCCCTGAGGCCGGCTGTCAGCTGAGTCTTATATCGTTCCCCCGAGGCCGGCTGTCAGCGAGCTTACTACCCCCGAGGTCGCTGTCAGGTGAGTCTTATAATCGCCCCCCTGAGGCCGAAGCTGTCAGCTGAGTCCAGGTTTCCGCCCTGAGGCCGGCTGTCAGCTGAGTCTTATACTGCCCTGGAGGCTGGCTGCTGTCAGCTGAGTCTTATACTGCCCCGAGGCCAGCTGTCAGCTGAGTCTCTAGTGTCGCCCCCTGAGTGCAGTAGCTGTCAGGCTGAGTCTTATACTGCCCCCGAGGCCGGCTGTCAGGTGAGTCTTATACTGCCCCCGAGGCCGGCTGTCAGCTGAGTCTTATACTGCCCCCGAGGCCGGCTGTCAGCTGAGTCTTATACTGCCCCCGAGGCCGGCTGTCAGCTGAGTCTTATACTGCCCCCGAGACCGCTGTCAGGTGAGTCTAATACTGCCGTATTTTATACTTGTCTGTTTCTAGTTAATTGTATAAAAGCTGGAGATGGTTCAGCCACTAGTCTTTCCTCTCAGTGTCGTGTTCGTCTGTTGTGCTTGAACACGTTGTCATTTTTTACCTTTTAAACTACAGTATTTAACTTATATTAATATCTTGGTGTCTGTTATGGCTGTGTTCTATTGACAGGTGTTCCACATCTATCATTAGGATTAATTTACTTCCCTAATAATAATGTTGTCCTCGACAGGTGTTTCACATCTGTCAGGCAGATGGTAGGAGCGACTCCTTCCTGTGTCCCAACGGCACCATCTTCAACCAGCAGTTCTTCGTGTGTGACTGGTGGTACAACTTCGACTGTTCCACCGCCCCACAGTTCTACGACCTCAACGCTCAGATCGGAGTGGTCAACGGTAATGGCAACGGATACTCCAACGGCATCGTCAATGGCATAATCAACGGTAACGGGATTTATGGAACGAGGAATGGAAACGGAGTCATTAATGGTAACGGTTACGTTAATGGAAACGGAGTGATTAATGGTAACGGTAACGGCTACGTTAATGGAAATGGAGTTATCAATGGCAACGGCAATGGATATGTCAACGGCATTGTAAACGGTAATGGAGCTGTCAATGGAAATGGATTCACCAATGGTAACGGTTTTATCAACGGCATTAATGGAAACGGCAATGGGATCAATGGCAACGGAAACGGAAACGGTAACGGTGCCATCAACGGGCTGTACCAGACTCCCAGCCTGTGAACACTGCTGACCGCACCTCCGTCTCGACTCCTTCAAGAATGTTTACTCTTGTCTGCCAAAGCTTTATGTTGCGTCCTCGTAGCTGAGTGATGTTGAGGCTGGAGACCCTTGGTTGATCTTCCTCGAGAGACTTTAAACTAACCAAACCAAAACAGGTGAACTTGACCCTTAATGACTGATGGCAAGTGAATTCTACTTACATGATTGAGGAAAATGATTATGTTGTTTATTATTTGGTTTATTCTTGAGGTGAATGTGTCCAGCCATTACCAGTCAGCCAACGCCGGGATAAGCAATTATATTTTATTTATTTATTAGTTTTACGGTTTGTGAAAATGCTTAATAAATTATTCTTGGTTAAGTACAATGTTTATAATACCCTAGAATAGTTACGAATGTTTATTTTATTAATTATCGGAAGACTTTATTACCTGATAGATGCTAAAGTATGAAGGATATGTAACAATAGTTTATATTACTTGGAAAAATTATATCCAGTTGAGAGAGAATATTGAGGTGTCTTCTACATAGTGAGGGTCTTCTAGTAAGTGAAGGTCTTCTAGTAAGTGAAGGTCTTCTAGTGAGTGAGGGTCTTCTACGTAAGTGAGGGTCTTCTAGTAAGTGAGGGTATTCTAGTAAGTGAGGGTCTTCTAGTAAGTGAGGGTATTCTAGTAAGTGAGGGTCTTCTAGTAAGTGGAGGTCTTCGTAGTGAGGGTCTTCTAGTAAGTGAGCTTCTAGTAAGTGAGGTCTTCCTAGTAAGTGAAGGTCTTCTAGTAAGTGAGGGTCTTCTAGTAAGTGAGGTCTTCTAGTAAGTGAGGTCTTCCTAGTAAGTGAGGTCTTCTAGTAAGTGAGGGTCTTCTAGTAAGTGGGCTCAGTGTAGTCTTGGGGTTAGTAGGAGGTCTTCTAGTGGGTCTTAGTAAGTGAAGGTCTTCTAGTAAGTGAGGATCTTCTAGTAAGTGAGGTCTTTAGGAGGTCTTCTAGTAAGTGAGGTCTCTAGTAAGTGAGGTCTAAGTGAGGGTCTTCTAGTAAGTGAGGATCTTCTAGTAAGTGAAGGTCTTCTAGTAAGTAGGGTCTTCTAGTAGTGAGGGTCTTCTAGTAAGTGAGGTCTTCTAGTAAGTGAGGGTCTTCTAGTAGTGAGGGTCTTCTAGTAAGTGGGTCTTCTAGTAAGTGGTCTTCTAGTAAGTGAGATCTTCTAGTAAGTGAGGGTCTTCTAGTAAGTGAGGGTCTTCTAGTAAGTGAGGTCTTCTAGAGTGAGGATCTTCTAGTAAGTGGGGTCTTCTAGTAAGTGAGGGTCTTCTAGTAAGTGAGGGTCTTCTAGTAAGTGAGGTCTTCTAGTAAGTGAGGGTCTTCTAGTAAGTGAGGGTCTTCTAGTAAGTGAGGGTCTTCTAGTAAGTGAGGTCTTCTAGTAAGTGAGGGTCTTCTAGTAAGTGAGGGTCTTCAAGTAGTGAAGGTCTTTAGAGTGAGAGGTCTTTAGTAAGTGAAGGTCTTCTAGTAAGTGAGGGTCTTCTTGTGAGAGTGAGATCTTCTAGTAAGTGAAGGTCTAGTAAGTGAGGGTCTTCTAGTAAGTGAAGGGTCTTCTAGTAAGTGAGGGTCTTCTAGTAAGTGAGGGTCTTCTAGTAAGTGAGGGTCTTCTAGTAGTGAAAGTTTCTAATGGGTCTTCTAGTAAGTGAGATCTTCTAGTAGTGTCTTCTAGTGATGAGTCTTCTGTAGAGGATCTTCTAGTAGTGAGGATCTTCTAGTAAGTGAGGTCTTCTAAGTGAGGGTCTTCTAGTAAGTAGGGTCTTCTAGTAGTAGGAGGTTTCTAGTAAGTGAGGTCTTCTAGTAGTGAGGATCTTCTAGTAAGTGAGGGTCTTCTAGTAAGTGAGGGTCTTCTAGTAAGTGAGGGTCTTCTAGTAAGTGAGGGTCTTCTAGTAAGTGAGGGTCTTCTAGTAAGTGAGGGTCTTCTAGTAAGTGAAGGTCCTAGTAAGTGAGATGGTCTTCTAGTAAGTGAGGTCTTTAAGTGAAGGGTCTTCTAGTAAGTGAGGATCTTCTAGTGGTGAGATCTTCTAGTAAGTGAGGGTCTCTAGTAAGTGAGGTCTTCTAGTAAGTGAGGTCTTCTAGTAAGTGAAGGTCTTCTAGTAGTGAAGGTCTTCTAGTAAGTGAGGATCTTCTAGTAAGTAGGGTCTTCTAGTAAGTGAGGGTCTTTAGTAAGTGAGGGTCTTCTAGTAAGTGAAGGTCTTCTAGTAAGTGAAGGTCTTCTAGTGGTAGAGGTCTTCTATGGTAGGGGTCTTCTAGTAAGTGAAGGTCTTCTAGTAGTGAAGGTCTTCTAGTAAGTGAGGGTCTTCCTAGTAAGTGAGGGTCTTCTAGTAGTGAGGGTCTTCTAGTAAGTGAAGGTCTTCTAGTAAGTGAGGATCTTCTAGTAAGTGAGGTCTTCTAGTAAGTGAGGTCTTCAGAAGTGGAGGGTCTTCTAGTAAGTGAGGTCTTCTAGACAAGTGAAGGTCTTCGAGTGAATTAAGTGAGGGTCCTAAGTAGGTGTAGTAGGCGGTCTTCTAGTAAGTGAAGGTCTTCTAGTAAGTGAAGGTCTTCTAGTAAGTGAGGTCTTCTAGTAAGTGAAGGTCTTCTAGTAAGTGAGGGTCTTCCTGTAAGTAGGGGTCTTCTAGTAGTAGGGATCTTCTATGGTGAGGGTCTTCTAGTAGTGAGTCTAATGGGGTCTTCTAGCAAGTGAGGTCTTCTAGTAAGTGAGGTCTTCTAGTAAGTGAGGGTCTTCTAGTAAGTAAGGTCTTCTAGTAAGTGAAGGTCTTCTAGTAAGTGAAGTCCTTCTAGTAAGTGAGGATTCTATAGTAGGGATCACTAGTAATGAGGTCTTCTAGTAAGTGAGGGTCTTCTAGTAAGTGAGGGTCTTCTAGTAGTGAGGTCTCTATGAGTGAGGGTCTCTAGTAAGTGAATCTTCTAGTAGTGAGGGTCTTCTAAGTGAGTGCTAGTAAGTGAAGGTCTTCCTAGTAAGTGAAGGTCTTCAAAGTGAGGTCTTCTAATGGAGGGTCTTCTAATTGAGGTCTTCTAGTAGTGAAGGTCTTCTAGTAAGTGAGGGTCTTCTAGTAAAGTGAGGGTCTCTTCTAGTAGTGAGGGTCTTCTAGTAAGTGAGGTCTTCTAGTAAGTGGGGGTCTTCTAGTAAGTGAGGGTCTTTAGTAAGTGAGGGTCTTCTAGTAAGTGAGGGTCTTCTAGTAAGTGAAGGTCTTCTAGTAAGTGAGGTCTTCTAGTAAGTGAGGGTCTTCTAGTAAGTGAGTCTTCTAGTAAGTGAGGGTCTTCTAGTAAGTGAAGGGTCTTCCTAGTAAGTGAGTCTTCTATAGGTCTCTAGTAAGTGAGGGTCTTAGTAGGATCTCTTAGTGAGGTCTCTAGTAAGTGAGGGTCTTCTAGTAAGTGAGGATCTTCTAGTAAGTGAGGTCTTCTAGTAAGTGAAGGTCTTCTAGTAAGTGAGATCTTCTAGTGAGTGAGGGTCTTCTAGAAGTGAGGTCTTCTAGTAGGTCTTATGTGTCTTCAAGTGAGGTCTTCTAGTAAGTGAGGTCTTAGTGGGTCTTCAGTAGTGAAGGTCTCTAGTAAGTGAGATCTTCTAGTAAGTGAGGGTCTTCTAGTAAGTGAGGTCTTCTAGTAAGTGAGGTCTTCTAGTAAGTGAGGATCTTCTAGTAAGTGAGGTCTTCTAGAAGTGAGGGTCTTCTAGTAGTGAGGTCTTCTAGTAAGTGAGGGTCTTCTAGTAAGTGAAGGTCTTCTAGTAAGTGAGGGTCTTCTAGTAAGTGAGGTCTTCTAGTAAGTGAGGTCTTCTAGTAAGTGAGGGTCTTCTAGTAAGTGAGGATCTTCTAGTAAGTGAGGTCTTCCAGAAGTGAGGATCTTCTAGTAAGTGAAGGTCTTCTGTAAGTGAGGGTCTTCTAGTAAGTGAAGGTCTTTGAAGGGAAGGTCTTCCATACTGGGGAGATAAGGAGATAAAGAGGAGAAACTAAGTAATGTTAAACAGTCGAGAAATGAGATGAAGTCAACCCAAAAGTTGCCTGCTGACTGACTTACTGATACACCCCCTGACCAATCCTCCCAGTCATACCTCTTATCCCAGAAAGTCTTTGGCATAACCGTGGCGTTTACGTGAGACTCGATTAGATTTTTCATTGGATCTTCTTACCTTAGAGTCGATCAATACAGGAGGTTGTCTGTCAATGTTTCTTCGTATTATCATCTATTATCGACTCAAGGATCTCATACAGTGAAGCGGTGATTTCTTTCCTGTTGTTGGGTAAATTATTTTGATTTCTGGGTTTTGTCGTCAGGTGATTAAAATATTATGCAAAATGAAGTTGATTTGTTATTTTACTCCCTCGGTGACAACAGTGACAACATACAGGAGGCGCAGAAAAGTATCACTAGTAAAAAAAAATAAAGATAGACATTTTATTTTGTTTCTGGTGTAATTATAGATGAGGTGTAATTATTTTAAGTACACCATCAAGCAGAACATGAAACCGATACGAATGAGTCTAAAGGTTCGAAGTAACAGACTTAAGTTCATACATCTGAAGCAGGCAGTGCAGCAGGGAGAGTTAACAAACTTTGGGTGAAACTGTACAATATATACTGAGGAGAGGAGTGGTTGCCCTAAGGCAATTGGTGAGCCATTTAGTCGACCACCACAAGTGACTCAAAGTTAATAAGCCAAGTAAACATGTCTCGAGATGACTTTAAGATGTGTCCTTAAAACATTCTAAATTCTAATTCTAAAATAAATAATAGAAATAAACCTGCCAGAGTGTTTATACTGTGGTACACCTTCTTAGAAATGACCAGTGGCAATATCATCTTACTTAGGATAAAAGACACTGTTTTGTTCGGTCATTTTAATCGATAAAACAGCGGAATTTGGGAAACTGAAACAGCAAGACTCTTAGTGATATTCTCCAGGTGTTGAATACGTGGCAGCTTCTTGTCCATCAGTGACTAGTTTATTTCACCGTAGACAAACTATTGCTACAACACCTTATGGGTCTCGCTGATGGCATGACTCCACACAACAAATAATTCTCTTCGTTAACTGTAAGTAATAAAGACCTCTCTCTCTCTCTCTCTCTCTCTCTCTCTCTCTCTCTCTCTCTCTCTGTAAAGTGGACGTCCCTGACCTTCCCACAGCTCTGACGTCAGTATCTGTGTTTAGTTTCTCCGGTGGATGAGTAAGAGTGAGACTTCAAACCTACTGCGCCACGTGGCCTCCATCACCCGAAGACAAATACTGACTTCGTGTGAAAAGAGAAACGATGAATGTTGAGTCCCTGAGACCACCATCATCACTATAACAACAGCTTACACCATCAACACCACCACCATCACCATAACAACCACCACAAC